ACACACACACACACACACACACACACACACACACACACACACACAAAGAAAAGGTAAAAGAATTACCATAAATTCAGTAAGTTATTAATAATTATTGTGAATATTGCTACCTCATTTACTTCATAGATATGAATTATAGCCATGTTACTTCTGAGTAATACTTTATTACTTGTAGTTTATGACACTAATTTTCAATGAGCAGTTTACTATCTTCAGTATAAGTAACTTATGAAAACACATGAAACAAAAATATCAAACTGTAGACTATTTGTAATAGTAGATTCTAAAAGATATAGATATTTGTCACTAAAATTTAGTTCAAGTAAATAAGCAATAAATTTAAAATATTATCAGAATATAACTTAGAAGATTTGTCATTTAGAGGATACACAGTCTTTTGAGTAAATAGATTGTAATAATTTGGCAGTTTTAATATCTCCATTGTTAATGGTATTTTTGGTGTAATTTTATTTTTACCTAGTGATGAAGAGGTTAATCCTTACTTTCCACAGTATAGTATTTTAGTTCAGTGATTCATTTCTTCTGTTTAGTGCAAATATTCTAACAGTTGTATTGGAAATTGGAATTGAGTTTTGTTAAGACCATATGTGTACAATTGTCGGTTTGAAAAAAAATATTAACTTTCTTTTTTGCTGAAATTAGGTTGGAAACAGATTAATAGTGATTGTAAGAAGAGGTGGGAAAATTAACTTTTTGAATTTTATGTTGTTTCATCTGATTTTGAATAGTATAGAAGATTAAAATCTATAAGAATGTAGTGATTTCTATCAATTTACTGTGTGTTCTTGGACATATGTGACGTTTTTAGACATTAACAATATTTTGTTTTTTGGTCTAATTTAAAAAATTATTTAGAGTGAATTTGTTTATTTTTTCAGCTCTACCAGTAGTCTCTATCCTGAAGAAGCAGAAAAGGCATTGAGCATTCTCCCACTAGTATGCTGTTTATTCATAGCAAAATTTTTTTGTTTGAAGTTTTAATAGAAATATAACTTGTTAGAGAATAAAAATTGTTAGGTGTGTTGAGAATAAACTTATTGTCATGATGTTTGTGTTAAAATGAAGATGAGTTTCATCAGGTTTGGTGTACCTCAATAAATATTAAATCTGTCATTTACTTTATTTGTGATTATAATTTGTTTTCATCGTGTTTTATAACTTTTTGTGTATATATATATAATGTTCCAATATATTCTCCTATTGCTGTTTTTTTTTTCTGCACAAAATGTAATGTTATAGGTAACATATTCCCATTACACAGCTTGATATGCAAATTTCTCAACTTCATATATTTTCTAGTTTTATATTCCAAAGTTTAGAAAATTGCAAATTAGCCTATATCACCAAAGTAGGAAATTATAAATACTTGTCTTTCTTTTAGTTAAAAGTTAAAGATATTATTTAATGGTAGATTAAAGTGATGTGGTTACATGCTGTGTGTACATTTTTTTTCTGATTTATTGTTTTTGCTGGTATCAATAATTCAAGCAAGAACTTGCTTTGAGAAAAGCATTCTATGAATTCTGCTATAGGTACTGTATGATTGAATTATAAGGGAAATTGTCCATTGTGTATGCAAGATAATAGTTGTATTTGGTATGTCAGGAGATCATTAGCCACATCTTGGGTATTGTTTTCAATTGCAGAGTTGAACTAGGGCATTATCATTCACAGATATTGCAGCTAGCTGATACATCCATTGCCAAACTTTGGAAATGTTTTGCTTTGGGCCAAGAAAACTTGTTTGGAAAAGGTTTAGGATGAATGGAAAATAATCATCCTTATAATTTATTTGATGGCACATTATGCTGTTTATCTCTTTAAAACCAAAACAAATTACATCTACAAGAATAATAAAATATTCATTGATGAAAAACATGAGTCAACAGTCAAAGCTAGTTGACTTGTGTTTTTTGATTATCAAATAAATATTTTATTGTGTATGTAAACACTGTTTCCCTTTTGGAGACACTCTGCCTTTTTAGCTAATTGCAGCACAGATTAATGAAAAATACAGTAAAGAGATGTAGTTATTATAGGGCCATCAGAAGGGTGGATGTTACTTGGTGATTTATACAAAAAATAATGTTTAAACATCTATATTAAAAAAAAGTAGTTAAAGACAACTATTTTCTTCAACAGGATGTTGACTCTGAAACCCAAGAGACTGTTCTTCAAGTCCTCGGACAAATCCACAGGTCAACATGTGAAGAATGGGATGATGACCATCCTGGATGGGTGGGTTTCACATTTATTTATGTTATAGCTTTTAACTTTATCATGTACTGGAATGTTAATTTAAATGTGAAAAATAAAAACATTAATGTCAGCTTTAAGTAAAGTTTGTTTTGCTATTTTACAATTCCTGTAATCTAATTGTTATATAGATGTGTATAATGCCTGACTTCACTGTTTTTTGTTTTAGAAGATTATTATATTGTTTAAAGTTTTTAATAATTAGACTTAAGAGTTTATCTTTTTTTCTTTGCAGTGATGATCATTTCACTTGTGTTTTCTGAAGTTATTCAGTCTTAAAAAGATTCAATGACCTCTTTAGATTTTATCTGTTCAGGCTAATAATAGTGTCAAACCTAGCAAACGATTTTTAAATATTTCTTGACCTTGGATAGTGAGTAACCCTCATATTTACAAAAATAAATAAAGAAGTAATATATATAACTTATTTTTCATTATTAAATTTAACCAGATATTTTCAGCAGAAATATGCAGTTATAGTTTATTAATTGTGTAAACCTCTGTGAGAGTGATGCTTTGCATAATAACATGCTCATCATTGTTCAAAAGAGCAATTGTCATGCATAAAATACTATTTTTTAGAAGTTATCTGGAAAGTTCCATTTGAAAAATTAAATTCAGTAAGTTTCCTGTATGAATTCTGCTCATTACCTGGCAGTAACAATCTTTCATAAAATCATTTACCACTCCTCTAGTGGCTTTATTTATTAAATGTTATTTTCAACTATATTGATTATACTTGAATATAATGAACCAAACTCTAAACTTTCTTTTTTTGCTATCTTATTACTTAAGCATCGTTTAAAGTTTGACTTTACATTTACTGACCAAATCTTTAAAAAAAATTCCAGAATTTTCTTTTCTTTGTCAATTTAAAGTGTTTACCACAAACAGGCCTTTTTATTTACATAACAAAAATTAGTAGAATGCTTTTTAAAGCCTTCTTACTCTAATTCTAAACTAAATGGCCTAAACAAAGAGCCTGTACAAGAATATTCAAGTTATCAAAGTGAAATGAGTTGTTGAATCCCAGCAGAGGACACAGCACAAATAGCCTATTGTGTGGCTGTGCACATAGAAAAAACAATGCTACCAGTTATATGAATATATACTTAGAATGCACAGTTGCTCATTAGACGCATTGAAAAATTGATTATATTCATCTAAGGTTTAAATATTTAGATTTTTTGAACAGAAAGTTTTAATAATGAAGCAATTTGAAAAAAAATTATTTATTATTTTATATGGCATTGAAGAACTAGTTTCTATATAATCTTACTTAGTATTGTATAAAAGAATGATGTGATAAATTACCAATTTAATGAAGATGCGTTATAATGCCATTGTTTATCATAGCTTTTGATATGAAACTAGATCACAAGATATGACACAGTAAATCAGTATTGTATTGCCATTCCTTGATGATGTAGCTTTATATTGGACATTTTTAGAATAGTAAAGTAAATGTCACAAAAAGGAAATGTTGCATTGATTTAGGACCTACTGGAAGACATGGCTGAAATAACCAAAAAACAGTTAACTTCTATTTGTCCTCAACTTACCAACACTGAAGACACCTTGGAACAGTTGGTTGCCATTCGAAGAGGAGTAGTCCAGAGAGCTTACTGCTACTATGAACTCACTGCTAAAGCATACTTTCAGTACTTGCAATTGTCAGATCAGGTAAGTTTCAAACTTTATGTTGTACATCAGCTCAAGGGTTTCAAAAAGTTTCTAAATTTTTACAAAAGCTAGTTTCCTGAATATTTTTTGTTGAATCCATTAAAACTATTTTGTTATCTTAGGAAATGTAATGGTTACTTATTTACATTCTTTTTGTCTTTGTATGTTTTAATTTTAGCTGACAATGGTTAATTTACTATATAATTTATCTTCAATAACATTAAAGTTTTAAAAATTTTTACGTATTTGTTTTAAGTATATATATTTATGTGCAAATACATTCAAAGAACTTTATTCTAAAATTCATTTTTTATCTGAACAGAGTGACTTGGAGAAAGAAAATGTCACAGCAACCCTCCGACTACTGCGTTTAGTTGTAAAACATGCCTCAGAATTAAGAGATGTGTTAGAGAAAGGTTTGGCAAAGACTCCAACAGCACCCTGGAGAGGTTTGTAATATAGTTACTACTTTCCAATGCAATTAAACATGAGGAAAAAGACTGATGTATTATTAATTAACATATTTTAATCTACTAAATATTTTTAGGTTTTAAGTTTACAGGTTTCAATTTTAGAATTATGATAAAAGAAAATTCTAAGATATTAAAATGAAGAAAAGTATGCACAACTTTGATCTTTTCAACAGTTACACTACTATATGATAGCAAAAAAATGTATAATAATTTTTTTTAAATTAAATGAATAATAACAAAGATTGTACCTTTAAAAAATGTTAAAATCATTGCCATAAATGTAATTTGTTGTATAAATGGTTCTTAAGTCTTCTCCAACAAAATGTCAACACCTTCATAAAATATACATCACATAGGTATAACATATCCTGAAGGCCTTTGCTAAAAAGTCTGCCAGAACGTTTTTTACTAAAAATGTGGCTAATTATTAGTACTATGCACATTAAAATAAAAAATTTTCTTATGTGAACCTCACCTGTACCTTTAGCTAAGGGGAAAGTAGAAACTACTGGACTCTGTATTTCAGTTTATAGTGCAAGTTGTTTTGTTGTGAAGTTTTCTTTAATTCAAATGCTAAAAGCTTGCTCATAATTATTTTTTAAATATCTGTCCTTTTTTTGCTTTTTTAAGGAATTATTCCTCAGCTCTTCTCTCGTCTGAGTCATCCTGAACCGTATGTAAGGCAGAGTATATCAGATCTTCTGTGTCGTGTAGCACAAGCTTCCCCTCATCTGATAGTTTTCCCAGCTGTTGTAGGTTGTCTCACCTCTAAAGCCAGAGTTAACTTACAACAAGACACTTCATGTGGTAAGTTTTTTTTAAATTTTTATTTAAATGATACATTTATCATCAGTATTCAGTTAAACAGCAATGTAGGAATATTTATTTACTATTTGAGGAGCAAAACAAGGGTACATAGTGGAAATCTAACACTTAAAAAATGCACAGGAAATTAAAAATAGGCTTTGCTTTGAAGATGAAATATTGTTCATGAATAACTTTTAAACAATAATAGTTTCTACAAATTTAGATTTTCTTGAGCCATACCTGTCCCAAGGTCTTGCAGCTGAAACTGGATCACATGACCTTGTCACTTTGCCTGACAACCAAGACCTACCCAAAAGCATTCCAGGAGTTGTTTCGGATGAAGAAGATTCTGAAGAAGACAGTCAAAACACAGCAATCATGCAGAATTGTTTTTCTGCTCTTGTGGAAACTTTGGGAAGACAGGATGCTCGTACAATAGCTGAAGTGAAAACTTTAGTCCATGAACTTCGACGTATTACTTTACTTTGGGATGAGTTGTGGCTTGGCACATTGACTTTGCATCACTCAGAGATGTGCAGGTGATTATTGAATACAATTATTTCTAATCAGTATTTGTTTGTGTGAAGTTTTTCCTAGTTCTTATTAGCATTTAATTTTTTCTCTAGGTCATAGTGATAGAATGGGTTTTCATTCATTTTCAAGACGTTTGAATATTGGCTATAGAACTTGAAGTTTTCACAGATATCATACTAATATTTTCAGTTTTCTTTGACATTTAATAAATTTTTTATGTTATTTTATTACCATGCAATATGTATGAATATACTAGTTAAAGGATTAAACTTAAAATGATTTAATTGTTTCAATACTTTATTCTAATTTCAATACTATTAGCCTTCTGTTGAGTTTAGTACATTTTTTTATAATTAACAAAAAACATGACCATAGCATTTTTTTTAGTAGGAGTTTAAATGAGTAAAAGGTAAACCAATATAATTTGAACCTAAAGAATTCACCAAAAGACACAAATTGAAAATATTCAAGTTTAACCTTACAAGAATTAAGAAGATTGTCAGAATTTAAAATTTAATTCTTTTTGCCAATTGTCAAAATAAATGGCTTTCTTAATAGTATAAATATATACTGTATTGTTTGGGCTTAGGATTGTTTTACAGTAGGTGTCTGTGACTTGTTAATGATAAATTCAGTGATAAATAAATAGTAGGCACTTCACTTGTTTTCAAAATAATATATATTCGGAACAAGTTAAACGTATGTACAACAGATTCTTTACACTACAGAGATTATAAGCATATAAGACACACACACACACACACACAGTTGACAAGCGAACTATTTCTCTGTTACTATCGCACTAGTATTCTGTATGTGATTCACTTACAATTGTGGTGTAAGCTACTTCAGTCATATACTGCTCTTTCAATAATCGTTTGGTCTTCTTTCTTCAAAATATCCTCTGTTCCTTTTGTCAAAGTGCACTCAGACAGATTCAACTACTTTAGAACCACACTTTGACAGAATAAATTATTCTTCTTATCTCATTTTCTGCTGTTAGTGTTACTCTAACATATTAAATTTTAGGCCCATGTTAATCATTAGGCCTATCACTTCTGTGGTAGTTAACTTCACTACAAACTTTTCCTTGCCTGTAACTTTACTCTCTTCTGCTATTGTCTGTCTGCTGTTTTGGCTTGTCTCACACACTTGATATCTTTATCACTTAATCGTCTGCCTGCCTTCTAGAAATCTATATTCTCGACGTCAGTGTATTGCACACAACATTCGATAGTCTCAACATCAATGAAATATAAACATAAATCCTACAATTATCTGTTTGTAACTCTTATTATAACAAAAACTAAAGAATAACAAAATATTCACTCACAAAATAAATTAATCAATTATATCTTAAATAAACAGTCTTTTATATCATTGTAAAGATGGTAAGTACTGTACTCCTTTTGATAATTAAAGTATTAAAATGATTCCTGTGGGTCACCAGGCTGGACAATTTTCATAATTACTTATGGATTTGATGTAACACCAAGCTTGTGAACATTGTAATGCACCTTATTGCTTTTGTCTGTATTTTTATATTTAAAGAAGGTGCTTGAAAGACTAAACACCTTGATAATTGTAACATACATTTTAGACGAGTCTCCATCCTTGAAGAAGAAATAAAGAAAGTTGAAGGCAATTCTTCTCTTAGTAAACAAGATAAGTTGGAAATAATCAAGGAAAAACATCATGTGTTTTTGAAGACTGTAAGTTGTGTGTACTGTGGTTATTTAATATTTTAACTTTACTTTTATTCAGTATTCTAATTCCTGACTATAACCTGAATGCTTTGTCATAAGTTGTTATAGAAAGTTTTATATTCAAATTGTTGGATATAAACGTTCCATGCTACTGTATAATTTAAGCTTGTAGTGTACATACATTTGATGATGTTTCACTTGTGTAATTTTGACCATTTATTACAGCTTCATTGAGTATTTTTAGCTGTCATCAAGGAATGCTTGAAGAAAAACTTTAAAACTGTTGTTTTTGGCTTATTTCAAGCTTTATCCAGCTAACACATTTCAGTAAAGCAAGTTTCCTTGATTTTAAATATTTTTTTATTTGCTGAAATTTATTGCTTACCTTAAACTTTGCCTATATATTTTTTATATCAGTTTTGTTTTTAAAAACAAAAGTCACTTTAACAGTGAAAAGATTGAGCTTTAATAATTTTAATAACTTGGTTTAATGGAAAATGATAGGTGACCTACTTATATCCAGCCATGAAGGTCACATTTACTTACCATGATAGCACAAGTTAAGTCTTTCTAGATATTGATTTTTTCATATAAAACTATATTTAGAAGTGTACAATGATTTTTTTTTTAATTAGTGCTCTTGTTTTTATAAAAAAAATAAATTCATTTTAAAACAGACTAAACCTCTCGGATAAAAACTCTAAAGCTGACAGTGTAGTGTAGGAATGTTATTCATTGATAGCTTTTGAGTATTTATGATTCTCTGTACATTAAATAATTTTTATTATTATTCAATTTCATTGGTTGTTTATATTTGTCTGTTGTTTAAACTAGACTATTAATAATAATGTCCACAAGATATTTACAATATATAAGATTTATGTTTTAGTACTCATTAGTAGATGGTATTTTGCCAATATTTACCTAATATATTTGCTAAAAATTAATATATCCTTTTGTTATTTACTGAACTATGTTATAACATGTTTCAGGTACTTTTCGTTCTTCAACAACTCCAGCAGATTACCTCCCAGCCCCCTGAAACTCCCCATGAACAATGGTTTCAAAATACATTTAGTGAGGTTATTGACACCACTTTGGAGAAACTTCAGAATCCAACTAATCCATACCAACCTCACCAAGGTCTTCAGTATTATAAGCAGGTACTATAATACTATGTATTTTAAAAGCTCAATATAGATCAGTTACACTCTGCATTTCCTGGAGTAAAACAAAGTGGGTGTAGGTTAAATATAATTAATAGGAATTGTAAACTGCATAGTTACAATTTTATAGTTTAAATAATGCTTTAAATTCAGGGCTTCAATTGGAAATTACTCAAAAGAGTAGCATGTGCTAGTTACCATAGTTACATTAAATCAGTGTTGAGTATGTGGATATAAGATCAGCCTATAAAATTCACTGTAATGTTTTATTAAATGAGACTTGAGTTAATGGATATTCTCAAAATAGTTAGGTATGTATAAAGAAAATTGTATCCTGTGGAAGATTTAAACTATTTTATTGTTACATACAGTTAAAGCTCTACAGAATCAGTTGTTTAATAGAATTCTGAAGAAGGGCAAATTTCAGACTTGAAGCTGTATTCATAAATGTGCTTGTATACCTTCTGTTGAAGCCTTTAGAGCCAAACAATGTAATGAAGGGAATCAGAAAACATACAAACTGTATACAAATTACTGTTTACAGCTGGTTTTTGAACTGGTGTTTATCAAAGCCAGTCTTTCCATTTTTTATGAGGTACAGTGTTTTTCAATCTTTGCAAGCTTCACTGAATAACTAATACAAAGTTTACTATGGTGCTTTTTAAAGTAATAAACACACAGAATGGCCAGATATATTTGCATTTCAAACATTAACATATAATCATTCCAAGGTAATCTTTTAATTTCATTTGTTTTTAATTTTTTTAAGATTATATTCAAAAAGAATCTAGAAAGAGATGAAAATTACATAAAATTGTTTTAGTTAATGCTATCTTAATCAGCAGCTGTTTATTAGAATCATCATGATTATTTTGCAGTTGGATGTGTGAAAGTTTTTTCTTTTTAATTAATCCCTGGCATATTTTATCTTTTGTATACTATGGGTATAAAAACCAGAATATTAGCTTCATTAGTGAGTTTAAAGTTAAAAAATAGATTGCTTAATTAGTGAATCAGCAGTATTATTTTAGTAGAGAATCTTTTTAAAGGAATGTACTTAAGGATGGTTGTGTTTTGTTATAGGTGCTTTTATTACAGAAATTAAGGTCATAATGATAACTGTAGTATTACATGTAATTCAAATTTATAAATACCTATTTGTATAGATTATGTATTATACACTACTGGGTGTAGAAATACAGAGATAGTAATTGCAAGTTATGTAATCATGTTGCTAGTTTTAGTGGTTAAGTACAAAAGTCAAATTTATAAATGCTTAATGACCAGAAGAAAATCATGTTTCAAACACAAAAGCTGTGATAATAAATATATATGTCCTGTGTGCTTATTATATAAATCAAGAGGTAAGCAGACAAATAGTTTTTACAAGTTAAAAAAAAAATCAAGTTTGACCCTGGTAGCATATAACTTTGTTACCAGCAAAATGCAATACAGTATTAAAAATGGGGAAATTATAATGATACTATGCGTATTTTGTTCTGTGTTTTACCTTTATCCCCAGAATCCTTAAAAAAAATTTAGTTTGTGGATTCCGTGGTATTTGCCAGTTTTTTAAATATTTTTAAAAAACATCTATATAATCTCTGTTTTGAGATTATTTAATTAATTCATGATAAATTTTTAGCTCCATCAAATGCTACAACAGAAAGTCCAACAGCAGTCAAGAGGTCACCTGATGATGGACAAGATTAGTCCAGTTTTAGCTGACCTGAAATCAACTGTTATCCCTATGCCAGGGATCAATGCCACATCCTCAAGTATTGTTACTATTCAGTCCTTCCATCAAAATGTATCCATCTTACCAACTAAGACTAAGCCCAAGAAACTGGCATTTGTGGGCTCCGATGGACAAAAGTATGTACCTAGTAAGGTTGCCTTTACAGCATGCCTCTTTAAGGTGTGCCTTTTCTTTGGGTGTTTTACTACATTATTGATTTGTTTACTGCTGATAAAAATTATAGAAAAAGTTTTGTTTTAAATACATTTTGTTTCTGTAATTGTTTTAAAAAATTTTAAGAATGTAGCAAGTGCTCATATTGTTGTGTTGAATTTGCTGCATCAAAAATGCACAGTATGGAAAGAATGAAGTATGTGCAGTATTAAAAAATAGTAAGTTTTCTGTATTACCTTTTGATCTCTGTGTATTTTTTATATTTACAAGTTCAGATGTGTGTGTTTTTGTTTTTTACATATTTAGTACAAGTAGCTGTAAAAACCTTTGTATTTTTTTACATTATCATAATTAAGAGTACTAATTGATGCATGTTATCCAGTGTTTATTAATAATAAAATGTAATTATTTTTTTTAGATACACTTACCTTTTTAAAGGACTGGAAGACCTTCATCTTGATGAACGCATTATGCAGTTCTTGTCTATTGTGAATAACATGTTTGTGAAGAAAAAAAGGTGGGTTGTTCATGCTTTATATCAAAATATGTTTGTTTAATGAACTGAAATTTGTTTTAATTTTTTTTTTTAATTATAATTAATATGCAACATGTAACAGTTCTGATTATATCTTATGAGAATGTTATAGTATGTTCATAACTTACCAATAAATGTACAATTTCAAACCACTACTATAGCATTAGAACTAGTATGCTTCATATGTTGATAGAAAATATGATTATATAAAGAGGATTGAATATATTATATTTAAACTATTTTGGAGCCTCACCACATCATTACAGTCCATGTCACCATTTCTAATCATTGTCTGTCTGACAGGCATTAATCTTTACACTAGCCCTGTAGCATAGTTTCCCAATGTAAGTCTGTGATGTCCAAAACACAACACTCCTTTCAACTGACTTTCCATAATACATCGAGCATACAAAGTCTGCTGTTTCCCAGTGACTATTTCAACAGTTCAGTCACACAGCCCCTCGACGTGGATTCCTGTACGTGGTGAGGGGACCTCCCAGGTAAATACAGAACCTTAACAGTTACTTTCT